AGAATGCCTTTGAAAATAATCTTTGAGAAATGTCTATAGCACACATAGTTGAAATCTGTGCAAAATCACTCCATAATTTTCACAGGAAATAGAAAAGGAAATATTAATTTATTGCATACCAAAAATGTAGTAAGGCTATAGAAGAGGCAATGGAAAATTTTTACTCTTCTTTAATGTTCATATACATGGACATATCTAGCAAATGTCTCTAGATATAATTTTAAAATTATTATTTAAAAAGTTGATATCTTTTAAAAAGTACACATTTAATTTATTTTTTTATTTTTCTTTTTTATAATTTTTTTCTTATTAACTTGTGTGTAACTATAGTATTCCTAATTTTTTTATTTTTTATTTTGTTTCAAAAGCTCTAGGGGTACAAATAATTTTCAATTACACAAATAAAGTGTATAGTGATGAAGCCTGGGTTTTTATTGTAACTGCCACCTGAATAATGTTCATTGTACCCAATAGGTAATGTTTTATTACTTACTCCCCTCAGCCTCCCCATTCTGAGTTTCCGATGTCCACTAAACCTCTTTGTATGCCTTTGCATACAAAAGCTTAGCTCCCTCTTAAAAGTGAGAACATGTGGTATTTGGTTTTCCATTCCTCAGTTACTATACTTAGGATAATGACCCTAGCTTTAGCCAAGGTCCTACAAAATACATCATTTCTTTTCTTTTCATGGTTAAGTAGTATTCCATGATATATACATATACCACATTTTTTATTCACTCATCAGTTGATGGGAATTTTCATTAATTCAATACCTTTGCAAGTGTGAATTGTACTGCAATAAACATATGCATGCAGGTGTCACTTTTATATTGACTTTTCTTTCTTTGGGTGGGTTCCCAGAATTGTGACTGGTGGATTGAATAGTAGATCTGCTTTTAGTTCTTAGGGAATCTTCATACTGTTTTCCACAGTGGTTGTAGTAATTTACCTTTCCCCTAGCAGTGTATAATCATTCCCCTTTCACCAAATCCATGAAAACATTTGTTGTTTTTTGACTTTTTAATATCGACCATTCTGTAGGGAATAAGGTGCTATTTCATTGTGGTTTTCTTAAGGTGGTATTTCATTTCCTAATAATTAGTGATGTTGAATACTTTTCATAGATTTGTTGGCTGTTTGTATATCTTCTTCTGATAAATATCCGTGCACGTCCTTTGCTCACTTTTTAGCAGAATTGTTTGTTCTTTTCTTGCTGATTTATATGAGGTCCTTATAGATTCTGGACATTAGTTTTTTGTTGGATACATGGCTTGCAAATACTTTCCCCCATTCTGTTGTTTGTCCATTTACTCTGTTGATCATTTCTTTCATTGTGCAGAAGACTTTTAGTTTAATTAGGTCCCATTTATTTATTTCTGTTTTTGTTCCATTTGCTATTGCTTTCTTAGTACTAATTATTTTGCCTAGGCCAATATCCAGAAGACTTTTTCTAAGTCTTTCTAAGATTTTTTTCTAAGGTTCTCTATTCTTTTTCTAAGAATTTTCGTAGTTTTAGGGCTTAGATTTAAGTCTTTAATCCATCTTGAGTTAATTTTTCTATATGGTAAGGAAAAGGAGTTCAGTTTTATTATTCTACATGTGGCTAAACAATTTTTTAGCATCATTTATTGAATAAAGTGGGTTTTTTTAGTGTATGTTTTTGTCTGCTTTGTTGAAAATTTACTGCTTGTATTTGACTTTATTTCTGATTTATCTATTCTATTTTTGAAAATAAGAAAAAAAAAGTTATTGCAAAAGGTGAATCTATGTGTCTCCTAAGAAGTACACATTTTATAAACCTCATTCTTCACACATCACACAAGACATATAGAAATTTAGAAAATGAAAGTTAGATGTAAAATTACAGAAATATACTGTAAAGTTAGAGAGATCTCTGCTCTCCCCTGAGAGTTCCCTGAGGCCATGCAGTGCTGCTTTCCAGGACACACTTTCTCAGTCACTGCCCAAGTAGGCACCTGAGCCTGGGCTGTGGAATGTGACTGTTCTGTCCTATGACATCTCATCTTCTTTTGTCCTCAATTACACTCCACAGACTGTGCCTGTCAGGGTGTGTTTAAATATCTCACATGTGCCATTCCTGGACAGGGACCAGACTATTCTATCTCTGTGAATATTAAGGTGAGAAGGATGAGAAGAAGACAGCTGCAAAGAGGGAAAACCAGAGAAACAGTGAGTAAAGAAGAGTTAGGAGAGCCAGGTGCAGTGGCTTAACCAGGAAAGACTCTGTCTAAAAAATAAAGAACTGAGGAGAACTAGAGAAGGTAAAATAAAGAACGAAAGTGGGGTGGGTGAGACTGGACATAAAAAGACACAAAAAGAATGAGAAACGATGACCTGAGAATGGAATAGCGAAATTAAAATAGAGAAAAAGAGGAATCAGCAATGATATGGAGGAGGCAAAATAGAGGAGGGGACTCTCAATAAACAGGAGCAGTTGGCACAACAGACCGTGCATCACATACTTGTCAGATGCTTCTTTTATTTTCTAGTTACTTTTTCTTTTAAATTTGTGTCATCTTTAGTTAAGGTGTCAATGTTTTTAAAAATCTTCTTATGCACTAAAAATATTCTTTGGTGTTTCGTGAATAATTTTCAGAATTTAAATATGCCCTTGGAAAAATATTAATTTTTAAATTAACAGACAACATTCAGTAAAACTAGTTAGTCTAATACACAACAACTTCTTCTCTTTCCCATGTGGTTCAGGAAATTAACGCACTGTAAGGTGAAATTTTTAAGTCTATGTTCTCTTCAAGTTTCATTTGCTCTTTCTTAGCAGATATTGAAGAAGGTGCTAGCTGGATATGGAAGTTTCTTTCATCAAAACCATCTGTTTATAATGATTGTCATGATTTCATTTTATAGCCAACCCTCTTTCATGTTTCCAATGGTCAATTATTACATCTTTTCAATTTTATAATTTGGGGAATTCAATGTGATTTTGCAAACAAAAAAAAATGCTTGAAATTAATGTGATTAGAATCACAGAGAAGTCTCTGCTGGTGAACAGTATAAAATATTGTCTGGGACCTTGAGCCAGTGCTGATGACTCTACTGGTCTGTTTTCTCATCCCTGCCTTCCCCAACACACACTTACAAAGCCACAAGGCAGTTGAGGATAGGAGAGCCCAGGCTTTAAACTCAGCACAGAAGAGAGACATCTCTGCAATGAGAAGAGAACACTGGCTCTGGGAAGAGATCTCAGAGGAGGCAGAGTGCAGTTTGGGGGTTAGGGTTCAGAAATGGAAGGGAGACTTGGAAGCTCAGGACCAGGAGAAAGAAAAAGCTGGGTCTGTTGGAGGGAAATAGGGGAGGGACAGCATGGGGTGGGGAGGTGGGGAGAGATAGCATGGGGAGAAATGCCAGATATAGGTGAAGGGGAGGAAGGCAGCAAATCACGCTGCAATATGTGTACCTATGCAACAATCTTGCATGTTCTTCACATGTACCCCAAAACCTAAAATGCAATTGAAAAAAAAAAGAAAGAAAAAGCTGTGTGACCCTGGTGACCTAGGTCTCCCTTGGTGACCCTGTGCTCACCAGAGACAAGCAGAGACTGAGTGATCTGTGACTTGAAGGGGAGGATAAGTCCAGACACATGCCCCTGGCTCTCGTGTAATGTATGGTCTTCACTAAAATGAGATAGTAATTTGGGGGAAAGGGTAGAAATATCTCACTTTTTTGTGGGGTTTTTGTTTGTTTGTTTTTGGTGGTTTTGTTTGTTTGTTTGACAAAGTTCTCACTCTGAAGTGCAATCAGGCAGTCTTGGCAAACTACAACATCTGCCTCTGGGGCACAAGTGATTCCCATCAGCCTCCTGAGCAGCTAGTATTGTAGGCACATGCCACTGCACCTGGTTAATTTTTGTACTTTTAGTAGAGAAGGGGTCTCATCATGTTGGTCAGGCTGGTCTCAAACTCTTGAGCTCAGGTATTCCACCTGCCTTGGCCTCCCAAAGTGCTGGGATACAGGCATGAGCCACTGCAGCTGGCCTTCAAACAAGAGGTTTTAGTCTGAATTTTTTTCTCTTCCAGTGGTCAGCATAGAACCTTTTTTTTTTTTCAACATGTCAGTTACTTCCTAATTACAGAATTGTGACACCAAAGAAAAAGGTGTATGTGAAGCTCTAGTTGTCATACTACACACTGTGAAGTGACTTTTCAGTACTGATCTTACCTAAGAAACAAGTCTGGAGAAAAAGAGAAAAGAAAGAGAAGTCAAAAATAGTGCCATTAACCCAGGTGATAGTCATTCTCAGTTGATTGCTCTGTTTCCTTACTGCAGATGTGTTTAGTACTCACTAACCTCTGACTCTGCAGTCTTCTATCTGACACATGGGCTTGCACTCACTCAGGATCCTTTTCAGTCTTCTTCCAAATCTATCTAACTGTCATTTTATGAAATGGAGCTTGTGAAAATGCTCTGTATGGGAGACTGTCCTTGGCAGATCTTCACCCTAGACCTGAGTTGAGGACAGGGAGTAGGCTTTGTGGTCAGTGGGGTTGAGCTGCAGAGATTGTTTAGGATAGAAACAAATGGATGTATCTCTGCTTTCTTTGGACCAAAATTAAAGAAACTGCACACATAATAATGTGTTAATATCCAGAAAGAGCTGTGGAATCTTAGACAAAGAATATTGACAACAAAAACCTGCTAAGCTAGACTTCATTACTCATTTGAAGCTAAATCAAGTGAATCAGTGTTGTTTGAGCCTCTAAATAGAATCCATAAAATTCTGCACTCACAAATAAAATCCAATCCCATCTTTAAATTAAATTTGTTGTCATTTGTACCCTTGTCTGGAAAAGAAACTCTTCTGGAAACTGATTAATACCAAAGCCATGCAGGAGGTGAGAAATAATTACTTACTCATGGGCTGAAATTGTGGAGAGAATATGATATCAAGAATATAAGCCGGAAAGCGGAGCTCTGGGAAGCCGGACAATGCGGCGGCAGCTCTTCAAAGTGGAGCACGTTTAGCTACCGTTGTCGCTGCCATGAGTCGCAACTATAATGATGAGCTGCAGTTCTTGGAAAAAATCAATAAAAACTGCTGGAGGATCAAGAAGGGCTTCGTGCCCAACATGCAGGTTGAAGGCGTTTTCTATGTGAATGATGCTCTGGAGAAAAACTGATGTTTGAGGAATTAAGGAATGCCTGTCGAGGTGGTGGTGTTGGTGGCTTCCTGCCAGCCATGAAACAGATTGGCAATGTGGCAGCCCTGCCTGGAATTGTTCATCGATCTATTGGGATTCCTGATGTCCATTCAGGATATGGGTTTGCCATTGGAAATATGGCAGCCTTTGATATGAATGACCCTGAAGCAGTGGTATCCCCAGGTGGTGTCGGGTTTGACATCAACTGTGGTGTCTGCTTGCTAAGAACCAATTTAGATGAAAGTGATGTCCAGCCTATGAAGGAGCAACTTTCCCAAGCTATGTTTGACCACATTCCTGTTGGGGTAGGATCAAAAGGTGTCATCCCAATGAATGCCAAAGACTTGGAGGAGGCCTTGGAGATGGGGGTGGACTGGTCCTTAAGAGAAGGGTATGCCTGGGCTGAAGACAAGGAGCACTGTGAGGAGTATGGAAGGAGGCTGCAAGCTGACCCCAATAAGGTCTCTCCAAGGGCTAAGAAAAGAGGCCTTCCTCAGTTGGGGACCCTGGAAGCAGGCAACCATTATGCAGAAATCCAGGTTGCGGATGAGATTTTCAATGAGTACGCTGCTAAGAAAATGGGCATCGACCATAAGGGACAGGCATGTGTGATGATCCACAGTGGAAGCAGAGGCCTGGGCCACCAAGTAGCCACAGATGCTTTGGTAGCTATGGAGAAGGCCATGAAGAGAGACAAGATTATAGTCAATGATCGGCAGTTGGCCTGTGCTCAAATCGCTTCCCCAGAGGGTCAAGACTACCTGAAGGGAATGGCAGCAGCTGGGAACTATGCCTGGGTCAACCGCTTTTCCATGACCTTCTTAACCCGGCAGGCTTTTGCCAAGGTCTTCAACACAACCCCTGATGACTTGGACCTCCACGTGATCTATGATGTTTCGCACAACATTGCCAAAGTGGAGCAGCATGTGGTGGATGGAAAGGAACGGACACTGTTGGTACACAGGAAGGGATCCACCCGCACATTCCCACCTCACCATCCACTCATTGCTGTTGATTACCAACTCACTGGACAACCAGTGCTCGTCGGTGGCACCATGGGAACCTGTAGTTATGTTCTTACTGGCACTGAACAGGGCATGACTGAGACCTTTGGAACAACCTGTCATGGAGCGGGCCGTGCATTGTGCCGAGCAAAATCTCGACCTAATTTAGATTTCCAGGATGTCTTAGACAAATTGACAGATATGGGAATTGCAATCCGTGTTGCTTCACCCAAACTGGTTATGGAAGAGGCTCCTGAGTCCTATAAGAATGAGACAGATGTGGTGAATACCTGCCATGATGCTGGAATCAGCAAGAAAGTCATTAAACTGAGACCAGTTGCTGTGATCAAAGGATAGAACCTTGGACAGCAGGGCCACTAGACACCACTGACCCTCTGTGAAATGGAAGTAGACGGACATGCCCTTCCAAACCTCAGACTCAAGTCAGGACAGGTTCCAAAGCGTGCAGCTGTAACTGCTTGTGCCAAAATGGCTGACGGGGAGGCTGCTGCTTTCAGGAGCCAGTGCTTGTGAAATAATCGTCCAGGAAGAGGAACCTCTGGAAAGGGAGGAATACACCTTCTCCTTGGTTGTTCCACAGAGTTTTAGGAAAATCTGTTAGGGGTGGGTAGGTGTCAAGAAACTGCCTTACGCAGTCATACAAGTCTTTAGCCATCAGATGGAACTTCGCTATGCCAAGCTGTGTTTACATTCCGAGAGGTGTCATGAAGAAAGTTCTATTAAATATGGTTTTGGAATGTTCAAAAAAAAAAAAAAGAATATAAGCCAATCTTAATTTAAAATAATATAATTTTCAGTGCTCATTATTGTTGCTTTGTGATGTATTAAGCCATAAAATCTGTTTTGTAAAAAGTTCTTGAATATGATTTGGCAATTAATCTGCTAGCTATTTTATCTTCCCAGCAAGAGTCAGGACTAACATTTCCAATATTAGTAGATGTATTTCCAGAATACCTTCCTGCATGTAAAATACAAGAAATAATCTAGTTGAATTATCTGATTGTTTTCAAATTAATAAATTTAGGCCTCTTCGACATTGTTGTTTTACCTACTAGAGCATATTATATACTTGATACGGATTATAACTAGATGATATCAGAAAACGTTTGGCCTTTGTCCATTATGACAAGACTATTTTCTTCATGAAATTAAGGATGAAGCATTCAAAGAAAGGTAACTTATTAACTTTAGTTTTTCACATTCGAAAAATATTATAAACCAGTAGTTTTCAGAATTTAATTGTTTGCTACATTTCTTCTGAGTTTAAGAATATTCTAACACCATTGCCAGGCTTCATATTCATCTATTTCAATTAGTTCTGTAAATAATTGTTTTTGCTTTCGGGTTTTCGATTCAAAATAGATTTTTCTTGCAATATATTTAATAATTCTAACACAAAAATAACTTCACTTGATGTTTTTATTTATTTAAAAAACTAATTTTTCTTATAATTAATGGTTAGATTTAATTTAATTAGATTTAAATGAGAAATGGCCACAATGAAAACTTTTAGAAAAGTACAGCCATACAGCTGGGTGTCGTGGCTCATGTCTGTAATCTCAGCCCATTGGGATGCTAAGGAGAGTCCATAAACAGGTCAGGAGTTTGAGACCGGCCTGACCCATATGGTGAAACCCCATCTCTATTAAAAATTCAAAAATTAGCCTGATGTTGTGGCAGGCACCTGTAGTCTCAGCTACTTGGGAACCTGAGACAAGAGAATTGCTTGAATTCTAGGGGTGGAGGTTGCAGTTAGTTGAGATTATGCCAACTGCACTCCAACCTGGGCAACAACAAGACTCTGTCTCAAAAAAAAAATTACAACCATATTTTACAACTGACAAGATACACAAAATTAAAAATATGTGACATATTAAAATATATCTATGTCTATAAGATTGAGATACACAGTGGTTAAGCACGTTGTCTACTCCTGAAATTTTCTTTTTACAATGAGGTGACTTTAGAAGTTGCATTAGTTTGTTTTCATGCTGCTGATAAGAAATACCCAATACACCCATCAGATGTCATGAGACTTATTCACTATCATGAGAATAGCACAGGAAAGACTGGTGCCCATGATTCAATTACCTTTTTTTGGGTTTCTTTCACAACGTGTGAGAATTCTGGGAGATACAATTCAAGTTGATAGAATCATATCATTCAGTCCCTGGCCCCTCCATATCTCATGTCCTTACATCTCAAAACCAATCATGCTTTCCCAACAGTCCCCCAAAGTCTTAACTCATTTCAGCATTAACCCAGAAGTCCACAGTTCAAAGTCTCATATGAGACAAGGCAAGTTTCTTCAGCCTATGAGTCTGTAAAATCAAAAGCAAACTAATTACTTTCTAGATGCAATGTGGATACAGGTATTGAGTAAATGCGGCCATTCCAAATGGGAAAATTTGGCCAAAACAAAAGTTACAGAGCCCATTCAAATCCAAAATCCAGTGAGACAATCAAATTTTAAAGCTCCACAATAAAAATTTTTGACTCCAGGTGTCACACTTAGGTCACCCTGATTCAAAAGGCGGGTTTCCATAGTCATGGGAAGCTCCAATCTTGTGGCTTTTCAGAGTACACCCTTTCTCCTGACTGCTTTCATGCATTGGTGTTGAGTGACTGCAGATTTTCCAGATGCATCATGCAAGATGTTGGTGGATCTAGCATTCTGGGATCCAGAGGATGGTGGCTGTCTTCTCACAGCTCCATTAGGCAGTGCCACAGTAGGGACTCTGTTTGGGGGCTTCAACCCCACATTTTCCTTCTGCACTGCCCTTGCAGAGGGCCTGCCCCTGTAACAAATTTTGCCTGAGCATCCAGGTATGTCCATACATCTTCTGAAATCTACGTAGAGGTTTCCAAACCCCAATTCTTTATTTCTGTGCACCCACAGGCTCAGCACCAAGTGGTAGCTGCCAAGCCTTGGCCCTTCCACTCTCTGAAGCCACAACTTGAGGTCTACATTGGCCTCTGTCTGCCATGGGTGGAGAAACTGGAAGACAGGGCACCAAATCCCTAGGCTGCACACAGCATGGGGACCTTGGGCTTGGCCAACAAAATCACATTTTCCTCCTGGGCCTGTGAAGAGAGGGGCTGTTGTGAACGTCTATGAAATGGCCTGGAGATGTTTATCCCATAATCTTGGGGATTAGCATTCACCTTCTTGCTACTTATGAAAATTTATGCAGCTGGCTTGAATTTCCCCATAAAAAAATGGTTTTTCTTTTCCTTTTTTTTTTTTTTTTTTCTGAGACGGAGTCTTGCTCTTATTGCCAGGCTGGAGTGCAATGGTGCAATCTCAACTCACAAACTTTGCCTCCCAAGTTCAAGCAGTTCTCCTGCCTCAGCCTCCCAAGTAGCTGGGATTACAGAAGCCCACCACCACACCAGGCTAATTTTGTATTTTCAGTACAGACGGAGCATCTCCATGTTTCCCAGGCTGATCCTGAACTCCTGACCTCAGGTCATCTGCCTGCCTTGGCTTCCCAATGTGCTGGAATGACGGGTGTGAGCCACCACACCTGTCTGGAACTTTCCTTTTTACTGCATTCTCAGGCTGCAAATTTTCTCAACTTTTATGCTCTGTTTCCCTTATAAAACAGAATGCTTCTAATAGCACCCTAGTCACGGTTTAAATGCTTTGTTGCTTAGAAATTATTTCCACAAGACACCGTAAATCACCTCTCTCAATTTCAAAATTTCCCAAATCTCTAGGGCAGGAGCAAAATGCCACCAGTTTCTCTGCTAAAACATCATGAGAGTTACCTTTGTTCCAGTTCCCAACAAGTTCCTCATCTCTGTCTGAGACCGCCTCAGTCTGAACCTTATTGTTCATATCACTGTCAGTATTTTTGTCAACAAGCCTCTAGGAGGTTCCAAACTTTCCCACGTTTTCATGTGTTCTTCTGAGCCCTCCAAATTGTTCCAACCTCTGCTTGTTACCCAATTCCAAAATTGCTTTCATAGTTTTGGGTATTTTTCCAGAATGCCCCACTCTACTGGTACCAATTTACTGTATTAGTTCATTTTCATGCTGCTGATAAATAAATACCTGAAACTGGAAGCGAAAAGAGGTTTAATTAGATTTACAGTTCCACATGGCTAAAGAGGCTGCAGAATTATGGTGGGAGGTGAAAGGCATTTCTTACATAGCAGTGGCAAGAGAAAAATGAGAAGAAAACAAAAGCATAAACCCTTGATGAACTCATCAGATCTCATGAGACTTATTTACTATCATGAGAATAGCAAAGACTGGCCCCCATGATTAAACTACCTCCCTTGGTGTCCCTCCCACAACACATGGGAATTCTGGAAGATACAATGAAAGTTGAGATTTGAGTGGTGACACAGCCAAATTATATCAGAAATGTCATTCAGTCTTTTTATGTTTATTATCTCCTCACCTGTGAAAAGGGAACAATAAAACACATTATAGATTTCTTATAAAAATACATGGAAAACCCTGTTATAATATTCTAGAGTAGTACTGCAGCATAGTGAGAATATATGTTCTTCTCTTTTTTTTTTTTTTTTTTTTTTTTTTTTTTTTTTTTTTTTTTGAGACAGAGTTTCACTCTTGTTACCCAGGCTGGAGTGCAATGGTGCAATCTCGGCTCACTGCAACCTCCACCTCCTGGGTTCAGGCAATTCTCCTGCCTCAGCCCCCTGAGTAGCTGGGATTACAGGCACATGCCACCATGCCCAGCTAATTTTTTGTATTTTTAGTAGAGATGGGGTTTCACTCTGTTGACCAGGATGGTCTCGATCTCTTGACCTCGTGATCCGCCCACCTCAGCCTCCCAAAGTGCTGGGATTACAGGCTTGAGCCACCACGCCCTGCATGTTCTTCTTTTTAGAGCAAAACTTTTATTAAAAGAAAAATGAAGTTCAATAAAATGTGTCTGGGCTAGAAATAATAGCAAGTACACAATAGGGTGTTTTGGTTTCCCCCATAAAACAGACCTGATGTGTTCATGAAAAATCTCCTCACTTTGAATGAAATTATCAATTACTTGAAAATAACAAATTATCTCCAGTATTATAGCAGTAAAAATGATCTTCTTATCCCAGATGATAGTTAAATAGCTGAAATGTTCTTCTTGACATCACAGTTTTCTTTATGAGATGCACACTAGGATGCACAGATTTGATTCTCAAGCACCTGACTATGCTCAACTCTTCTTACTCTCTAAAAAAGTTCTTTAGACAAGGACAGCTTTAGGGTTTATCTGTTTTTTCAGTAATATTAGATAGAAAGTTGTTTTTATGTTCACAGAGTGGGCCAGAGCATGTGCATTGATACCATCTCCCTCTTGAGTATCTCCCAGGCCATCACCATCAGCCCAAATAACATCAGGTGGGCAGAGCTTAAACTACATGCTTCCAAATAGACTTGATTCTTTAATGTGCTAATTCTGTGCTGAATTCTGAATATGCTTGTAAATATCATTTCCTATGTACGTTACTGGCAAGGGGAACACCACAAGCAGCACAAAAATTATTTTAAACACTGTTCTGGAGTAGTTAATAATAGAATTTACCAGCATTTAATAGAATTTATTACAGCATTTATCACATGCTGTATTTATATAATTTTTACTGTTTTGTGTTTGGAACTTATAACCTGGGGCAGAAGCTCTATGACTTCTACTCTGTTCAACACAAGTGGTGAGTCCAACACATTCATAGGTCCAACACCGCTCCTAAATTCTTACCTGAGT